CGATCTGGCGCGGTGCTTGCTCCGTCGCACCCGGAGTCTGAGCTTGCTCGCCATGGATTTTGACTGCCCAGTATTTCGTCACCGGTCTCTTTGTGACCAAAGAATCCATGATTGACCTTGCACACGACACGTTACGCATGGCGTGACGTGAGGTCGCGTGACAGGCTGTTCAGCACAACATGAAGTGTGGAGAGGGAATTGAGGGGCGTAACAAGTTGTTACTAACAACGTCCGTGTGACTCCTCCTACTCTCTAGGGCCTACAATACGAGCGATGCTATCGATTCACTCTTCACATGCTCGTCCTCTGATAGAAGAAGGCCGATACATGTCCGAAGTTCGAACTCCGAACAATGTAGGCGATTCAGTTTTCCAACAATATTTTTTTGTCCGTAATGTACCTAATCCTCATCATGGCTGTTGTACTGGAGTTTACTTCCGTCCACGGCCTGCGGAAGACGACGTCTTCGGGTATGAACCTTCGTCTTGCAAAAGTCATCGTTGGAATGTTGTTAGCAGATATTTACACCGAGCCTACTGGAAAATGTTATTTGGATGTCGGCCCCCGTGTCAAAGGCTGCACTTGCCCCAATGGACTCGAACCTGTCTATACCCTTGTGAGTTGGATCTCACTCTTACTCATTTGTTCAACTTCGTGAAGATTCTGTCAAGTGTGCCCATTTTAGAAAAAGCTTCATGGTTATACCGTTATAGCTTCTACGCTTTGCTCACCCGAATGTACGACAGATAGCGACTGTCCTGAGCCTCAACACGGATTCGGATTGTCGGCTTTCTGTGGCCCAAACAGAAGATGTCTAATTTCATGCTCAAAGGTGAGCTCGAGCAGGGAAGATGTTCAAGATACGACTAACAGCATTCTATGAGCTGAGCCCATCTTCTTTTTACCGTTGGTTGAGAGTATTCAGTTTTGATTTTTAGTTTTACGCCTGGTGTCCTTCCTCGAGTCGCTGTCGAAAGGCAGAGATTGGTACCAGAGATCATATTGTCCCGATATGTCTATACGACCAGTAACCCTTTTGTTATATCGCGGATGACAATGGCGAGAGTCGCAATGCTGTGGCAGCACATACGCTGAAAGGCAACTTCTAGTCAGAGTGTTTTCAACCTGTCCGTCTCTTTCTTTAAAGGAAGCTCTCGCTGCTACAGCTGCTCAGATGAGATCCAGGTCACTTAAGCTTTACTTCTCATCGCTAGAGAACAAAGACCAGTGTTGAGTTTAGTGAGTCTGCTCCTCGGAAGGTTCATCATTTGACGGCGTGGGTGTGTCAGTTCAAAGTACAACGCCGTCGCCGGCTTAGTCAGACTTGATGCCGATATGCTAGCCACTTGATGAGCTCTTTGTTGCGCTATTTAGGTGGCCCTAACGTCGCCAGAACGAGCAGAAAGAGCAGACCGGGCCATATTATTCCCTCCTGGCAGGATCCACTCCTCACCGCGGGGCTGTGCCCAACGACCGAAGCACTAGCACTGCCGTGGCGGACCATGAGTTTCATCTCCAGGACTCGAGAAGTCAATGACCCAGCTGGTACTCAATGTTCACACATGCAGTCATTCCTCGGCTTCAGATTCAGTAGTTGAGCTGTCGTTCGCCATGGTCTTAGCCGTGTATGCCATCGTTAGTTTCCTGCAGAAGTTCGCTACGGCTCACATCGGCTCACACTTATTATTATCTGCCCTAAGTGTCACCAGCGTCCATGAAAGAAGGATGTCGATGGGACCGACCTGGTCGTAGGCATTTCAATAAGATATGTATGTTGTCATCCTTTTCGGCACAGTTATTGCACTCTCTGTCTATGCCTGTCCTGTTTTCTCTTCCAGAAATGTAGGTGTACCTTCTTAAACCCTCAGAGTGCCCTGATAGCACTTGTAGAAAAAGCCCACAGTTATCTGTGAGTACAGCCTCCAGCACAATCTTTCGCTGACGTTCACTAGCAAAGGCTGGACAAAGCGTCACCGACAAACGTTCTACCATTCGCATGAATACTCTTTCCACGGCATGTTCGAGTTTGCGGCGAGATCCCTGGACTGGCGACATGACCTCCAGTCTAGGACGCGCTCCGTCAACGCTGCCTCTTCTTGTCTCGAGGTCTGCTAGCTGAATTCCTGCCAGGACCTGGTATACCTTTCGCCGTTGTCGCACACGACAAACCGCGAAATTCGGAGTAGGTCTGGTTGCCCTGATTGTCACATGGTCCTTACTAAGGACTACGGACTCCTTAGAATGCGTCGCTTGCGATGGTACTCCTAGATCCTTAGAACTTCCTCCGCATCTTTGGTGAGCAGAGTCTGCTCAGCAGACTACTGTTGTGGGATCTGGCATATCATTTGGGAGCTCAGTATCCTTGGTCTCACGTCGAGAATGTCCGCGGAGCGCGGGAATTGCTTAGTTGTAGCCAGTGTGCTCAGAATTGCTTCATCAGGGCACTCGTCCAATGGTCAGCCTCGACACTTGAGGCGCTAGTTTGCGCGTGCGTGTAGGAGGGTGACACCAGTGGTCGTGTCGATGGTGAATGGGGAGATAAATTTGTGATTGTTCCCTCTCACCGACTAGGCTAAGTGCTGGAGTTACTCTTCTCCTGCAGCCACTTTACCGCCACTGAATAATACTACGACATTGATACTCTACGTACGGATTAATCATGGAGCGCACAATGACAGAAGGTGGGTCGTCTGCGTCGCTCCGACTGCGTGTCGTTATGCACGTGAATGTAAGTTTCTGATCACCAAGTGGAGACTCTCATGATACGCTGCTGTGAGTTCGCACGCCGTCTTCAATGCCCGAGTTACTCAGGCTGAGTCACCTCTTCAATCTGGGGTGAGTCTTGCCCGTAGCCACTTCGGTATCCCAGATTGACTATTAAACGTAACTAGTTTCTAGGCCTGGTGTGACTTTCCCACAAATGTCGTGCCCCACTACTCTTGCTGATGTTGCCGAGTTGAACCAGTGGTGGTCATCATCCCGCTGGAAGGCAACGTGTAGACCTTACACTGCTGAGGACGTCGCTCGTCTACGTGGCAATAAGGATGTCCGGTCGACCTATCCATCTAACGCCATGGCAAAGAAGCTTTGGTCGTTACTAACGGAGGCAAGGGATAGAGGCACCTTCATCAAAAGTCTCGGGGTGCTGGATCCTGTGCAGGCCATACAAGCATCCAAGTACCTCGATGCTCTCTATATATCTGGTTGGCAGTGTGCGACGACATGTTCTTCAAACACGGAACCAGGACCAGATTTCGGAGATTACCCCTCTAATACTGTTCCTGACAAGGTGGAGCAGATCTTCAGGGCTCAGTGTTTTCACGACAAGAGCCAAACACTCCAGCAGTCCAATCGTAACGGGTTTGATGCTCAACATCAGACAGACTTTCTAGCACCACTTATTGCTGATGGAGATAGTGGTCATGGTGGTATTACTGCCGTTATGCGGTTGACTAAGATGATGATCGAGAAGGGAGCTGCAGGCATACATCTAGAAGACCAGAAGGCATCCACGAAGAAATGTGGCCATTTGGGTGGTAAGGTTCTAGTTTCTACCAGGGAACACGTAGAGAGGCTCGTTGCGGCCCGGTTGACGGCCGATATTCTTGGTACGGATACCATCATCATAGCGAGGACTGATGCCGAGATAGCCACCCTTCTCGACAATAACGTCGACGACCGCGACCATCCCTTCATTTTGGGAGCCACAAATCCACAAATCACAAATGACCTACCCATGAGATACATTGTCGATAATGCTATCAGAAATGGCCGTTCTGATGAAATACCAACGCTCGAGGCGGAATGGATTGACAAGGCGCATCTGTGCACCTTCCCTGAGCTTATCTCGATGAAGTTGAGGGAGATGGGGAAGCCTACTGAGGTATGGGATGAGATTTGTTTGTCGATGGGCATACGTGAGATGAGGTCGGAAGCTAGGAATTTGCTCGGTGATGATCTGCCCTACTGGTGTTGGGATGCTCCTCGTACTCGAGAGGGTTTCTACCGCATACAAGGTGGTACGAAGATGTGTATAAGTCGTAGTCGTTCATTTGCTCCGTACGCCGATATGACGTGGATGGAAGCCAAGAGACCAGACTATGCTCAGGCCAAGGAGTTCACCATGGGCGTCAGGAAGATCCACAGCACTGCGATGTTCGCCTATAACGTATTTCCGAGTCTATTCTGGGATAAGATGGGTATGTCTGATGCTGAGATCCGCGACTTCCAGACCAAGATAGGTAAACTCGGATTCGTTTTTCAGTTCATCCCACTGGCGGGTTTCCACGTGTCGGGTCTGCACATGGATCTATTGGCCAGAAGTTATCGTGAGGATGATATGTTGGCTTATATGAGAGAGGTCCAGAGGGTTGAGAGGGATAATGGCATCGAATTACTAGCCCACCAGAAGTGGTCCGGTGCAGACTACGTCGACACTGCTGTATCAATCGTCACTAGTGGCTCATCTGCTACCACCACTACTTCTCGTCTCGCTGGGATTTTCACGGAGCGTGATCTAGAGGAAAATGCCGCCGCTTAGACGGGCACTCTAACATCTCGGCTACTAATATCATAGTTGGCGTTGAACAGTTCAATCTCAGTCGTTCATTTTCTCGACAGAGTACCCGACAAATTGCTGCGATTCTACACCACAAGTTTTTATGATCGGTTTCATGCTAGATTCCACTCACATAACTAGGATGAAGCTTTATGTGCTGCTCATACTAAATACTCTGAAGTCACCAAAAACACATTTATAGGCAGCTTCCGCACACTCACATCGCTACATGCTGGGCCCTCGCAATATGTCTCACATAGAATATGCTATCTGCTCAATTTTTTCAATGTCAATGTCAGCTGCTAATACGAGGAACTATCACTCAGTTTCACGAGTCCTCCATAGCTACGCGTTGAGTATCGGTCCAATACAATCGGATTTTCAGAAGGTATTCTTCGCTGCTAATATGATCGGTTTATCTGAGTGAATAACATGTGCCTCCGATAGGTTTCAAGAAGGCCAGTTTAGCAGGCGCTTGAGACAGGAGTCGATTTCGTCGGCATGACCAGAGTAACTCCAATTTCGACGAATAGGGGAGTTCAATCTCGCTGTTAGTAAGACCAACTCGCGCTGAGGCCCTCAACCTGAGGGCCCTACTCCCATGAATTAATGGATCTCATATCATATTGAGAGGACGTATAGTGCAAGAATCGAGTAGGGGAGGAAGAGTCGACTCCACTATTCGAGAAGCCGCTAACCACATGCGCTACAACGATTCAATTCTGACCCCGGAAAATTTCTTGGATGAGACTAAGTTTTCTATCGGGGCTTCAATCGGGGCAGTCGCACATTATCTATAACTACGGAGTTTGGGCGTGCGTAGGGCACAATCGCAAGTCACATTACGCGACTCGCACCGGATTCCTGAAGTTGTTCAGGACCGTGGAGATCATTCTGCACATAGTGCAGCTTCTCCCAATATCAGTATATGTAATATGCCTGCTCACTACTGCTCACTGCTAATATCCCTATTGTCAATAGGCTATTGATCCTACTATGGCCGGGACATCAGTGCAGAGTGACTGGGAAATTCCCAATGGGAATCCCTAACATAGTATCGCAAGCTACCGTCGAGGGAGTCCCTCGCCCTAGCAGGTCTCCGTGACATGGCGGTGCGCCAGGGTCTGAATAGCCGTCTGGGTCAGGATATCTCTCCTGATTATTCTGGTCCTGCCTTTGTTGTTCACGTTATAGTACCATTTGACTAGGCTATGGCTATAATGTTTATATGTGTGTACACTCCTGAGAATGCTTCCTTGTTGAAACCTATCCCTTGTATTGTGACATGCCCGGTTAAACCGACAACGTAGTTAGCATTGTACCCGATGTAAGTTTGAACAGAGCGTTATGGCGCATTCTTCTCAGATGTCGTTACCACTAGCAACGTTACCACTTGCACTCCTCCATGGGGTCCGGGAACGTAGCTGCCACAAAAGGCCACCCTACTTCCACCGCAGCCATTCAGGTGCTCGAACCCACCTGCTAAGGTTACGCAGTGAGTGCCTTGGGCGGTTGCCGTAGCATCTTCCTGAGAGTCGACCACATAATCAACACCGGTGATCCATAGCTACAAAGCATGTGACAATCGAGTTCAGGACTCCAGATCACTCCGTTATATGCACATAGCAACAGCCCACGATTTCCATGCATATCGTACACAGCCATGAGTTGAATGTGGGCCGTAGCATGATAACCCGAAGGTGCGAACATGATTGTTCAGCCACGGATGACCTAAGTCGCGGCTAAAACCGGACTATGTTGAATGTGAGCGTCTGTGTTCTTATGCTACATCATAGGAACACAGAGCAGCCATATCGGAGACTTAGTCGACCCGTCGCTGGCCCCAGAAAGACCAGGAGACCCCCTAGAAATAGGTGCGAGCAGTACGACGATGTGTGATTCTCGACGGCCCACGTTGTGCCGCATAACAGCTATGTATTGACTGCAGATGCTGACCATTCCCTGAACCGTTCAGGCTAAACGCCACCATAACGATCGTCGAGAATCTGTCAGTGCGCGGCAAGAATACGACATTGCAGCACCCGCAATTAACCTTGTCTACTGCGTAAGCATCATTTACCTTGATAAGATGTATTATGCGTGAGAAAATATCGATATACTGTGGCCATAGCTATTTGATAACACAAAAAACTAATGCTGCAGACAATGTCTGTATACAGGAGATAATTGAATAAAATTGGTCTTAGTCGGACTTCAATCGATTCAACGCAAAACCAGATGTATACAGTGCCTAGGATGGTGATCTAGAACCCAGGGCATCCGGGTCATGACTCCTACTCATCCCTATCAAGAACTCCCCAATAGAATGACTTCGACTCAAACTCTTTTAAACCCGACTTGTATAGAAAAATGGCTTAGAAGACGTACCTAGCCTTTCTCTTCAGAACGATATTGGTGCCAATACGGAGAACAACAATGAGTCCCAGCAGAACACCAATATCAAGCCCGACCAGATCAGACTTGGAATCATTGATTTCGGCTAGTCGGGTGTAATCAAAACCGAATTCGGTAAAGAAGGCTAAATTGACACCATACTTCAAAGCACACAGCCATTGAACCCATCGTAGCCAGACTGGGATATTACTGATGCTAGTGAACAACCCAGAAAAGACCGTCTGTGGAACAAAAAGCAAGGGGATCAACTGAATGGCTTGGGCACCCGAATTGACAGCGGCTCCTACCATCTGTGCTAAGGAGACCGAAGAAACATTCATAACCCACGATATGAGGAACCAATAGAATATGCTGCCTTGAAAGTTCATCATATAGTACGCAATGAGGACTTGTACAATGGAGTCGAGAAGAGATAATGGGAACTCAACCATCATCTTGGCGATCGTATAAGGGATGGTAGAGTACATATTGCTGGCATACTCCCTGAGAAAGATACCACGTTGCTCAGGGAAGTGCAAGATGGTCGATTGAGCCGACCCCATCATGGCAGATATACAGACAGTAACCATACCACCATAGTAAGGAATGAACTTGTCAACGTTAGTCAGCCAATAGTCCTCACTCTGGGTAGAGCCAGCATCGAAGAATACACAACCAAAGAGGAGATTGAGGATGATAAGAACGCTATATCGAGCAATGAGTACTGGCTTGTTACGGAACGTGTCCCTGGCATCACGAAGGAAAAGCTCCGTCAACTGCGCCGTCATACTAGATGGCCTAGACTTTGCCTTCAACGGTGGAGCATCGTCGCCTTTCGCCCTAGACGCTTTAATGCCAGGTATGATTCTGGCTTGGGCCTTCTTTTTATAGGTTGCAGCCAGTTTCTCTATCTCTTCCTCAGACGCGGTTTGGAGCTCAGAGAGGACGAAGTCTGCTGGGTTGTAATCAGATGGACACTGTTTCGATGTACTATCCTGGATGAAGGCTTTGAGATCGGCAGTCGGGCCCAAGTACACCATTCTACCACTGCAAATAACCAGAGTGTTATCAAACATAGAGTAGATCTCACTCGACGGTTGATGGACTGTTACCACCACGGCTACACCTGACCGAGCCAGGTCCTTGAGAACTTTCATAGTAGT